GGCGCCCTCCATTTCTTATTCTGGCAGGGGGGGCCCCCAAATTAATCGGTGCTAGGAGTAGTATAAGTCATGATAGTAGTTTCCATGTTTTTTCCATTAGTAACCCCAATCTTCAATGCCAGTATGAAAATCTGGGTCGATTCATCACATACGTAGCCCTGCACGTGACAATCTTGAAAGCCCGACGGAAAATCTGCGGGTGCTAGCGAGGACGAGCTTTGATGAAGGGCTGTTAGACTTAAGCCTGAACCCTGAACTCTTCCCTTCCTTCAGCTCACGATGCGAGGAGCAGCAGGCAGGTAGAGATTCTGGCCTAAATAGGGTTGAGGGTTTAAGGTTCCATACTGGGGTTACATTGGGCTTATATTAGGGAAATATTGGGGTTATCTTGGGATAATGGAAAATAAAATGGAAACTACATAAGTCAAAGTAGTCGTTTCCATTCCATTATCCCGATGTAACCTTACATTATACCCCTATATAACCCTATATATCCCCAACTGAGACCAAAGCTTGCGAAAGTCTGGAGCATCGCTGAAGAGATCGTCCAGACTTCGCGGTCTGGTGGGTGGCCGCAACACTGCTCCAGCCCTATATAGGGATAATGAATTAGAATTATAGGGGTATGTAGGGATATTGGAAAAGGAAATGGAAACTACTATATTATAATGAGCTCAAATACAAGCACCAGCTTAGCTTAGCAAGAAGCAAGGGTCTTCAAAGAGGGAGTCAGAGTGCGGCTGCCAATGACTGCCACCTGGTCACCCTGGAATAGCAATGCAGATGGTCTGCTGCTGTCTTGACTTAGGGGTTTCCCAAAATTAGGGGTACCCTTCTGGGGGTCCCTATAATAAGGAATATAATGGATTGGGTTCTATATTGGGGTCCCCCTATTTTGGGAAACTACCACTTCTGCACTGGGCTTACAAGTCATCCGCCACTTGCCGTGCTTCTGCAGCTCTGCACTGGTTGCTTACATGGCTCCCACATCCTGCACTACAGCCGAAGTTCCTAAGAGTCCAAGTTCCTAGCTTTGGCGGCCGCAACGATTTGAGAGGAGATCCGCCTCCAAGCACGTACTCTCCAAAATCCCATGTAAATGCCAAGCAGAAAATGAACATGCACAGGTCACGCCTTCATGGGTGACAAGCTCAGCACTGAAGACGCGAAAGGTGCCGGCCCCACTGGGCAATAGCCGCGGCAGCAACTGCAACGGAACATTTTGATTGAGCATCAAGTTGGGAAACTTCCGTTTGCCAATCCATCTGGCCTCTGGCGTTTGGGGGAGCCATACTCTACCCACCCCCACTTCCCCCTGTTCAGCAGACGCGCGCTCCTTTAAGGCTTGGGAGGGGGAGGCCAGAAAGCGCGTGGGGCTAAGGGGGGTGGGTTGAGGCCCAACCCCATGCCCCCTCGCCACCCCCTGCTGCTTCTGCATGCTGTCTGTCCTCCTCCGCCGCCGACCGCTGCTCGAGCCGGCCGAGGCGCAGCGCGATATTACACAGACCCAACCGCCATCCTCGAACAAATGATCAGCACCAAAATACCGCCACCCAAGTACTGCAGGATCGATATCGTCAGGAGTTCCGGGGCCTTGCGTATACTAGTGGCCTGATGAATTGAGGTGGAATGGTGACTTTGCTTGTCAGATCTTGCATCATAGTCATAGTTCTTGAACAGGCTTTCTGCTTTGGCATCTGGTGCGCTTGATGGCTTCCCCGCGGTATTACATGTCGAGGGCCGTACTTTGGAAGTAATGAAGGCTTCTGAAGCTTAACTGTCACGCACATCGCTTCTCCGCAACCACCGCGTGCGAAAACACGACGATCGTCCGGAGCATCAACTTCACCAGATGCCAAAGCAAAAAGCCTGCTGAAGAACTATGACCCCCAATATACTATAGTAATTTCCATTTTCTTTTCCATCATCCCTACAAAACCCCAACATACCATGTAGTAGTGTCCGTGTTCTTTTCAATTTTCCTGAAAAAAAAGGAGTGATCTTAGATCCGTGCATCCTTGGTTGCAACACTCTGGCAGATGTTTCTTCGCTCCAATAATCAAAAGTTCCAGTTTTCAGTGGATTCTACATGGTTATATAGGGATAATGGAATAGAAAATGGAAAGTACTATATAGTATATTGGGGCTATATAGGGATAATGGAAAAGAAAATGGAAACCACTATAGTATATTGGGGCTATATAGGGAGTTTCGGAAATCTGTGGCCCCCCTTCCGACACGCCGTCTTAAAGTGCTCCTGGAGCCAGCATCATCAGCAAGTGTCCGGAGTCTGAAATGTGTCCGAAAAGTGTCCCCTGCCACCCTTCCCTCAAGCCGATTCAGGAGGTCAGAGAAGACAAGCCCCTAAACCCTAAACCCTAACCCTTACCCTGCAACCTTCAGGCCACCCCAACCGCTCCTGCTGGGCAGCACCCGACAACCCATGCCCCCTTCGCTAGCGATCAGCATATGTCAGCATAGTGGCTGGAAACCAGAGTCCAGGTTGGCCCATAAAACCCTTTGAAAAATGTTAGTATATAGGGTCCTGAAGCCATTAGGAGTATTGGAAAAATTGGAATAGCGCATGAACCAGCTTGCTTTCGAATCCGCACTTGACAGCACGACTGTCCCTTTTCACTCGAAACAAACTACTGGCGTCGGTTTCTGGACATCTGGCTCAGGAGGGTTGTGTACTCGAGGGTTTTAGGCTTGTACCCCTAGGGTTGTACCCCTGGGTTCGGGGATCCTTCACAGGGACCCTAGGGGGGTTTAGGGTTTAGGGTTTAGGGGATATGAGGGCTACATTAGGGCCATGTTGAGAAAACCCGTTAGGGGTACAACCCGTAGGGGTACAGCCCAGGAACCCTTGATGTACTGCACAAAGTCAATCAAGGTTGCTAAATACCGCTGCGTATTATCTGAAGCAAACACAGCCTTCACCACCAACACCTCCGGCTGCCATTCAAAGAATACTTGCAAAAGTCTGCTTGCAGCAATCTTGCGGTGAGCCTGCTGCAACAGCTCTTGTAGTACGGCTGAGCCAGCGGCTACGCTCTTGGCCTTTGGGAACCCCTAAGCATGTCGCCTAGGGCGTGAGACAAGTCCAGCTGCAGTACTTTGTACATCGCAGTGGACTGGGCAGGCCAGTGCAAGATTCTATGAAAGAAAGCACAGCCTGCAATACCCGAAGCAACTTGAGCAAGCACGCGGAAGCCCTGGCCTGAAAATGTAAAATGCTGAATGCCTGCTCCTGAAACGTCAGGCGCTGTTCAACCGTAGCATGTCTTGGCGTGGCGGACCGGCAGCCACTTAAATGCAATTCAGATCATTCCCTGAAATAACCTAGGCTGGCACAGGTCCATAGCACGGCAGTTCTTGCAGCACATTTGCACTAACGCGCGTCCCTTCAAGAGTCTGCTGCAGAGTCTGCTATGCCCCCATCTGCCCACAGAAATTCCACAGCACTCAATGCATCAAGAGTGCATACTGATCATTGTTTTTGCGGTGGCTCTCCATAGAACGCCAAGTTGTTATCCTCGGATCCTGGCTTCGGAGTTGGACCTTTTGGCTTGCGTTTCGCTTTTGAGCCTCGTCATGCAGGAGCTTGCACAAAGCACAAATACAACTTGAGGCCCAGCGGAACTGCGGCAGTAATCACGCACTTGGCGCCTGGGCCGCCGAACATATAGCGGCTCTGGAAGTCTGTAGAGATTGGCCACACTGCCCGGCAAATGTCTTGAAAAACCTGCAAAGCATTGCAAAGCGGAGACAGCAGCCCAGCTCAACAACGCAGTCACATAACCCCAACATGACCCCTATGTTACCCCGTTATAGTAGATTCCATTTTATGAAAATGGAAAAGAAAATGGAAACTACCATGACTTATACTAGATTAGTAGTGTCCACTTTATTTTCCATTATCCCAATCTAACCACTGTCCCTGCCTCTGGGTGCTTCATGGAGATGGCATCAAAGGCCTGCACAAGTGGAACCCGCTGCTGTGGTCGAGCGTCAGATTCCTTCATGGCGAGCTCTCTCGAGATCACGATCAGGAGTGATGTCTGGCTGCTGTGAAGAGGAAGCGCACTCAGCGACACCAGTGCAGAGACGAGCACTGGGAATTTCCATGCGGATCTGGACCGATTCTGGAAAACCTGGGCCGCTGCATCGCAGACTAGGTGGATCGTGGTCTCCACAGACTCCACCATCTGCGGCTGGTGCTTGCAGAGCTCGGCAAATGCCCAGAGCAGGTTTGTCACTTCGTAGCTCTGGCAGCTGTTCAAATTGCTGGAAGCAACTTGCCCAAGCATAGCAAAAAGCTGAGGTCGAAAGACTCTGAGGCTTGCACAGGACCAAGCAATGATGGTGCAGCAGGTCACGGGCATAGTACCATCAGGATTCTGCAACTCGTGCTCCGTCATATTCTCAATCACATCCAAGATGAGTTGGAAGATGCCATTTTCTCTTACCTCTGACAAGGAGAGGTGAGGGTGAGTCGCAACCTGTTCCCTCAACAAGATCTGCCAAAGGTTGCTTCAAACTCCCTCTACATATTCAAGTCCGCGCAGCACGCAATGAAACGAAAAGTCATGTTCCCTTGCCATGTCTCTTCTGCACATGTCATGGATCCGGCCTCGTGGGCCAGGGGGGAGCCCTGGCATACCTTTGCAACACGGTGTAATGCTGTGGACAGGTTCACTCCGTTCATCTCGTAGAGATGCGACTCTGATAGCTCCAGCACCTGCAACAGCCATCAGTCAGCTCAATGCGCCTCTTTGCTCTCCACAGCAATAGTACTTTCCATGTTCTTTTCCAGCATCCCAATTTAACCCCCTTGTAACCCTGAATCCCTAAACCCTATATAACCCCATTACAGTAGTTCACATTTTCTTTTCCACTATCCCAATATAAAATAACCCCACTATAACCCCAATGGATTTCCATTTTCTTGTCCATTATCTTTCTTGAACCTTGGGCTCTGCTGGCTTCTCTCAGACTCCTCTCGGGCTGCGCCTGGAAGGCACACTCCGGCAACCCGGAGTTCGTCACCTTCACAATCTCCTGGAGAGTTTGACACTCCAGTCTCTGCACCGAAGGGGCCAAGTCAAGACTTCTGAATATTTGTCATAGTAGTGGTAATAGTAGTAATAGTTGTAATAGTAATAGTAATAGTAATAGTAAATACTACTAGCTGCTGTAAGGTCCTTGTTGATACGTTTGGTGTCCCACTGGCTGGTATCACATAGCAGCCCCTCATCAGCCTGAAGTGCCTGCCCCTGTGTGCTGGATGGGCTGCATGGGCTTTCCACTGTGTGGGCTTCAAGGAGGAGCTCATCCTTCTTAAAAGAGTTGTCTCTCCAAGCGGGACTTGCTTCAAGGCTCGTTGACGCACGTTCCTCTTCCACTGGCTCCGAGGGGGTCAGCTGAGTTGCCTCAGAGAAGACAAGTATTTCGGAACATGCTCCTTTTTCTTCCACCTGGCTGCTGTTCTTGCATGATGAGCTAAAGTCAGAGGGGCTAGGTCTGGAAGGTCATCAAGGCTCGTGCAAGTGCTGCACACATACTGCGCATCTGGACAAGTCCGTGAGCGTGAAGTAACTTTCGGCAAAATGGAGAAGTGGATGAACGTGTTCCTCACCTTAACACCGTAAGCAGCGTCTGCAAACAGAATCTGCTGAAACAACAGGGCTTGCAGGCCACATGTACAACACCTTTCTTGGGCTGAATCCTGCTGCTCAGATTGGAGCTTCAAAGTAGACAGAGGCACCGGGATCGATGAATTTTCATCGCCATCGTGAGCGTCGATATCCGGCTGCATCATGATTTGGCCGCCGTGACAGGCTCAGGTCAACAGCCTGCAGGCCTAGGCATGACGCCGGATGTGCCCCAAATAAGCCAAACAAGCGACAACATGATTCACCGGCCAAGGAACAGGAAAACTAGGTGTTTGTGCCACGCGTAGTCTCACGTCTGAGCACTCACTGCGGAGCATGGTGCAGTGATGTCTACGAGAGATGGTTCAGCAGCATTGCATGTGGCGTGCCAAGTTCATGTACGAGGCTCCCTGTTGGGAAGCTGCTCTACTTGCAGTCTAGCTTTGCGACATGACAGCCCTCATCAGCAATGCACTCAATAGCAGGTCGCCTCCTCTTGCAGCACGGTTCGGGTAGCATACCTTGCGATGCATGCCATGTTGCACCAATACTAGCGGGGTCCGTAGCAAACTAAGTTACCATTATAGCGGGTGTGTGTGTATATATATATATATATAGCGATTCATATGGTTTCCCCAATATCGCAACTATCTTAGTAGTTGGTCTCGGGCGCTTGCTGCCGAAGGAAAGCCAATGAAGCAAGGCGTGGCGCTTCCTCTGGAGGAACGCCCCCACCCTGGCAGCGCCAATCACTTCCAAGGACAAGTGTTGGGGTTTATAGGGGTTATTTTGGGGTTATATCCGCCAACCTTGGGGGGCGTTGGATGGTTTCAGTACATGAAAAAATGAAAACCGCTTCTCTTCTCCCTGACATGGGGGTAGGGGGGGGGGGTATCCGGCTGCGTTTCCCTGCAGATCCGGCCCGAGCCCCAAGCCCCTGAAGCGCGGTAAAGTCCTGCAGCCTAGCTTGAACTGGCAGACGGCCTGGGTGTCAGGCTGGGGGCTGCCCGAGAATGCTCATCAGGGGCCACCCATGCTGGACAAATGGAATGCAGTGTTGGTCCTGACACGGTCCCGGCAACCTGGCTTGTTGCGCCAATTGGTTTCCTGCGTAACAGATGAAAACAGCAACGCTGCGCAGTCCCGGCAGCCTGGCTTGAACTAATCCTGTTGCGTCAAAACATCAAGGTTTGGGGTTTAGGCGTTAGACGTGTGCGACTTCTCCGCGCATGATTGGCGCTTGGGGGCCCAGGCCCAGGCCCATGAGGCACCCCTGAGCCCGGGTCCCAAACCCCTAGGTTGAGCATGCTGATCAGGGAGCCCACCCGCGCCAGGCTCTCGTTAAGGATTGGACACGTCTGCAACAATGTGAAATGTTGGTCCTGCACAGTGCCGGCAA